CCTCTACCCCTGCCTACACCCACGCTGCCCAGCCCGCCTCCAGCGCTGGGTGCTGGGTCCTTAGACCCTGGCAACTGCGCTTAGTTTCAAAGGAGCCACACCTCTGAGCTCTTAAGAAGAAAAATGTTCAAAACATTGACTTAGCTCCCCCACCAGCAAGAATAAACCGCACTAGTATGAACAAAGCGATGCCCTCTGCGTGCCGGGGCCTCCAGGGCTGAGGCTGCATTGCCTCCGCGAGGGTCTCCGTCCCCTCCTGTCCACGTGCACCCGGCAGGGGGTGGGGTACGGCTTGGGGGACAGGTCCTGTCAGTGTCAGCGCTTGTGGCCGAGAGGCACACGTGCTCCACACCACAGCACCAAACCACGTGTACCATAAAAGCTTGGTGAAAAGGCACGAGGCACTCAGGCATTTTTCTAACTCAGCCCCTCGCCCGATTGCGTTTTGGGACTTCGCTCACCGACGCCCGTCCTGACGGTCATGTTCACGTTGCAGATAAACCCGATGAGATAGTCCCAGCCTCCAAGCCATCCCGAACTGCTGAGAGCGTGGCAGTGGAGTCCAGGGTGGCCACCATCAAGCAGCGGCCCACCAGCCGGTGCTTCCCCTCTGTCTCGGACGTGAACGTGAGTGGCTGGGCCGGGGGAGCGGGCGGCAGGCCAACGTGGGCGGACCTCGCGCTTGCAGTTCACCCTCCCCAGCGTCCAGACCCGGAGCCCCAATCTGCGTGCGCACGGCAGGCACCCCAGTCCAGTGCAGACCCACAGTGGGGGGGCAGGCCACCACGTGAGCAGCTCAGCAACTCGCCCCGAGGGCCTTCCCGTAGGCCACCCGGAGCGAAGCCGCAGCCCTCGGGGCAGACGAGGCCCGACCCCACCGCCCCGGGGAGCAGGGCCTCCGCTCCCCGCGTACGCCGGGGACCCCGCCCCGCCGAGGTCTCAGGCCACCGTTATTCCCAGGGGGCGGTCAGCAGAGACCACGGGCCACGGCGGGCTGGCAGAGCCGCCCGTGGTCCGGGCGGGCTGCTCCTCTCGGGTCCCAGACGTGGCCCTCTCCACCCCAGCTTCGTGCCTGCTGCCGGTCTGAGCACCACGTGTCATGATTACTTCCTGACTTTGTATCTGCTCTGAATCCGCTTCACGCTGGTTCACGCTGGCTCTGTTTAACCGCGCCTCTTCCTAATAACGCCCAGGAGTATCGACGGTTTTGCGTAGCGCACGGCACAGGAGGCCCCCTGCCTCCCCTCACCTCCACACGGCCCGCGCGGCTCCTCCAGGGTCCTGTGTCCCGACCCCCCACCCCCCTGCGGCACCCCGTACCCAGCTCGTTCCAGATACCCTCCAAGCCCCGGGCCGGGCAGACGCCCAGAGCCCGGCGAGACTGGGTCTCGCGGGAACAGCCTGGGTGCGCGCACGCCTGTCTCCTTCGGGCTCCGCACCTGGCTGTTCCGAGTGGCCCTCCGACGCCACGAGGTGAGGCCGGCCAGCAACCTGTCTTCCGGTCGAGGAAGCAGCAGCTTGGGCGGGGGCTGCACAGGGAAGCTGTTTGCAAAGCGAAGGAGGGACGCGCGAGGCTCCTCCTGGACCAGGCGGAGGAGGACGGGCAGCCTGCCTGCCGCGGGGCCCATGTGCCCCGGGGCACCGCGCTCGGCTTGTCCCCCGCTCTGGGCCACTGTGGTCAGCCCACTTTGCAGAGGCGGACGTGGCCAAGGGCGGACCCCGCTGCCCACCGCCAGATGCTCTTTCCTACAGGACATCCGTCCTGGCCATTCTCAGTCAATGTCAGGCAGACCACGGCTCCGCTGAGCAGGGCTCATCGGCACTTTGAGGGCAGACAGGGCCCCCTTCTGGGTCCTGGACGCTGGTGTGGCCCGTCGTCAGCCTCAGCTGGACACGGAGGTGCTCCCCAGAAGCAGCTGGGGGAAGCCCTGTGACAGGTGTCCGCCGCCCAGGGCTTCCGTGTCTGGCTGCCGTGGGTGGCGCTGGTCTGACACAGCTCACCCCGGGCTCTCTGGTTTGCAGTCCGTGTACGAACGCCAGGGGATCGCCGTGATGACGCCCACCGTTCCTGGGAGCCCGAAAGGCCCGTTCCTGGGCCTCCCTCGAGGTACGATGCGAAGGCAAAAATCAATAGGTAAGCAGCGCGGCCACACCCACAAATGTGCCCCTTGGCTCTCAGCACCCTCGGCAGTGCCCCTCAGAGGCCCCAGGCCCGCCCACCAGAGGACAGGCCCCCGGCCTCACCCCCAGGGAGGCCTTGACCGTCTGAGCCGTCTGAAACTCTCCTACCCTCTGGATACCGAATCCAGGGTGGCTTCCCGGCCTCCCAAGCCAAGTATCCGTGATAACACCAGCAGGGTGAGGGGCTGCAGTCAGGAGGGAGGTGGAGGTGGGCAGGTGACGTCCAGGAAGCCCCTCGCCCCCGCCCTGCGTGTTTAGAGTGGGCCGGCGGGGTGGGCCCAGGTCCCCTGCGAACGGCCACTGCCGCGCTTTGTGGATGAGCTCGACGGACACACTTCTAAGGCTGGCTGGGCCGGGTTCTCGCGCGCGCTCTGCGGGTACGACGTACTGTGCGCTGCGGGGAACTGCTACCTTCTTGTTAGTAACTTCGCAGACAGCCCCTTTGTGAGATAATCCAGCACTGTCTTTACCGTGTAAATTCTCAGAGAAGCTAAGGCCACTGCCGGACGCTGGGGGACGCGGCACTGCTCTGTGTGTCCAGCACTGCGGTCTCAGGCCTGGCGCCTCTGTCACTAGTTTGAAGGGGTGGCAGCTGGCAGGAACTAAACGATAAGGGATGGCGGAGGTGGCGTTTGCCGGTCCCCAAAGTCCCCCCCCCCCGGGGCCACCGCAGAGTAGCGCACACGCCATCTCCTGACCCTGGCTCTCTAACTGCTTAATAACAGTCGATTTCCTCCTGTCAGACAGCAGAATCTTTCTATCAGGTCAGTGAACCTTACAGTTTGGCATCTGCAGTGTGAATGTAACAATCACTCCATAAGGCGTGTTCTTAAATTACTGCTCCTTGGGATCGTAACTGTCAGGCAGCCGCCACGTACGCACGCTCAATGAGAGGCCTCTGAGCAACCATCTTTGCGATGCCAAAACGCCCTCCCACAAGGAGTATGTGAAATTTGGAATACCCTTATCGAATGGAAGTTCCCACTGGAATAAATTATTGTAGTTTGTCCTAGGAGCGTTTTTGACTTGGAGTGATTCGTTTTGTTACCTCTTTGAAAAACCTGCATGCCCCCCACGCGAGACCCTCGTACTTGACGTCTGTCAGCGTCCGTGTCCATGTGCCGCTTCCCGTGTCCGGAGTGCGTGCCGTTGATGTTTTTGTATCTTGAACTGTCGGAAAGAATCTGAAAGTCCCCCCAGTGGACACACCAGAGCTCGGGGGCCCGACGCGGCCAGATGCGGCCGTCGCCCCTGCGGGCCCTCAGCGCCCTCTCTCACCCAACACCCACGGGTTCCATAGGTCCAGTCCTCCAACTCGGACCATGGTCAGTGGGGACCATGGTAAACCACCGGGCCCCTCGGCCCGGCCCAGAGGGTCTTAGGACCCAGAGGGCTTTGCTGGGGCAGGCGGCCGAGTGTTTGGTCAGGATCCTGCTCCCGGCTTGGGTTGGGGTCTTGGGTTAGAGGGTCTTGGCGTGTTGCAGCACCTTCTCCTGCCAGGGCCACTCAGCCATCCTCCTGAGGGCCTGGGGAGCTCCAGGACCCTTTGGGGGCCCAGAGAAGTCAGGCAACAAAACGGGTTCCTGTCGATCAGGTGAGGCCACCCTAGGGTCTCCTTACGCACAGGGCTCTGCTCGAGGGCGTCAGGCCTCCCCGCATACCTGCAGCACCTGCAGGACGTCGGCGCTCTGATGCCCCCGGGACGGCGGCACCATCCGCGTCCCATAAGCCAGTGCAGCCACCTGTGTTCCCTGTGCCCTCGTTTCTGACACGCAGCTCGACAGCCCCAGTCCCAAACCCGAAAACACCCGCCGGGGGCCCTGGCCAAGCCTGAAGGGATGGATGCCCCCTGATGCAGGCCACCCCTGCCCCCGACACACGCTCACACGTGCGCACACGAACCCCGGGGAGGAGTCAGGCGCCCTCCCCGGCTCGTGCCCGTCGCTCTGGGTACCATCTCTCTCAACAGCACGCACTCCGTGCCTCCCGGGGCCTTTCCCTTCTTCTTTTTTTTTTTTTTTTTTTTTTGTTCGGTGCGCGGCCCTCTCACTGATGCGGCCTCTCCTGTTGCGGAGCACAGGCTCCGAACGCACAGGCTCAGCGGCCATGGCTCACGGGCCCAGCCGCTCCGCGGCATGTGGGATCTTCCCGGACCGGGGCACGAACC